AATCTTGGAATGTCTTGACAAGCTTAAACATGGAAAATGCATGAGTTGTCACTGAGAACAGCTACCCTTAGTGTTCAGTGGCATGATGTTTTTTTGTGAGGTTTGATTCTGTTTTTAATAAGGTTAACATCTAAAATTGATTAAGAACCTGCCATCAGCCACGAGTTATACTTTTCATTCATGATCTTATTTATTTATCACAATAAACATAAAAGCAGATACTATTATTATTCTCATTTGCAGTTGAGGAATGAAGGCTATGCAAGGTTCAGTAACTTATCTAAACAAAATAAGAGCAGGAAGTGACAGAACTGAATTTCATGGGTAAGGTTGATTTAAAATTCTTATCTTTTAACTCTAAGTATACCATGTCTTCGGTGTAGTACTAGTTACTCACAGACAAGGGTAAAAATAAGACTGACATTAATATCAATTTCTATAGGCAAAAGATTGTTGGTTAAGCCCACCTTGCTCACAGTCCAAAATTATCCAAACAAATCGCTTTTAAATTTTTATTGACACAATCACATAGTTGTATTTAATGATGTTTATAGAATCAGCAGACTGTCTCTCACTGTCCAGCTTTCATCTCAGCCAGGGCCTATTTAAACTGGGACACTATTTCTCCCCTCTTTCCAAGGACCACATGAACAACAAATACATAAAAATGAACACAGTGCTTTTCAAAGAGTAACTGAACTTGAATACTGGCTGCTGGATGAGGCAATTGTAAGTTATCTTTTTATGGACTGTAACATACGGTCATTGCCATACCAACTTCGGATCGACCGTTTGCTGATCGACAGAATCAAATAACTGAGTAAGCAGTAAGGTGTATTTGCTCCTTTCTGTTCTAGTAAAATTAAGGCTCAGACTTGGAACATATTCATGCTTTTCTAGCATCATGAATATGGTATTGCTTTTTCAGTATGAGAAAACACATGGGTATTAGAAATCTTTCAAATTCCCCAGAGAAAGAGGTATTCAGTATTGCTCATCATTTGTCATATTTTAGAAACTGACACATACTTCTGGTGATGTAATCAAATATGTTATTTTTTTAATTATGAAGTCTCTGGAACTTATATAAGTTTCATTGATAAGCTCAATAGTTACTGTGCTGTGTTTAGTCACTTATTAATGCCATATCATTAATTCTTTGTCCCAGAACATACTCTTGGTCTTTGCCTTCAGAAATGACACTGGGGACAGGAAGGTAGGAATTCTGGGTCAGTCTGTTAGAATTTCTGAAATGACCTCTCCTAGGGGCATCCCTTTGGTATTAAGGCGTGATTTCATAGGGACTCATCTAAAATGTGCCTGTTCCCCAGGAGGGGTCATTTCACCAGTCATTGACAGTCTTCAGCATAGCATATAACATTGTAAGCTGAACTTGGGAGGTAGGTACTTCATCTTAGGAGAAAACTGAGGCTCACAGTGAAGACCTGCCTCCCTGAAAGACACACAAAAAGGCATTGGGGACCAGAAAAAGGGAAGTTGATCTTAACATTCTTTTCCAGGCCTGAAGTAGCCTCCTTTCACTTCCTTCATTTTTTGGCCTAGACTGCATGCTTTGTTGCCATACAATCCCAGCTCCCTTACCCTGCAGTCCTTTAGCTGCACTGACCCTGGCAAGTACCAGTCTTGAACTAATCCAACCAGCTGTCCTCACTGCTCCTGTGTTCACAAAGTTATTGTTGAATAAAGTCATACAAGGGTGAAGATCAGGACCACTTAAGGGGGTGCAGTCCCCAACCCCAGCATGGACATGTGGTCCTTCTACATTCTCTGGCCCACTTCTCTCATCTCTCTGAATGGGATCACTTCCTTCAGGTCCTCTACTCATCCCTCACTTATCACTTTCCCCTGATAACCTCATGTCCTATTTCACCGAGAAGTTGCCTACTTCACCACTGGATTTGTGGTAAAAATCTTGCCATTTCTGCACTTTGTTCTTTAAAGTCAATAATATTTAAAGCAACTGTTGTTTTCCCAAATATGGAATGAGTTACTCTTTCAGTATACGTCAATATAAAACATTCATCCAGTACTGGGTGTCCCGGATTTCAGTGACAGCTGCGCCCGTTCTGACTTAGTCATATGTCGAATCTGTGAATCCTATCCCTGTATATATATGATTTAGAAGAAGTTACTAACATATTTCTAAAGATAAATCACTTAAGACTCAGAATCTCTAGGTATATAATTATATATTACTATGATAGTGATGGGATAATTTTAAGAGTGGAGTTTGGACAGGAGTTCTTTGTGCATAGAACAGATTCAAAGCTGTTTCATGAACTCCCATCCTCCTACAGAAAATCCCACTGTACACTTAGTGCTCCCTGATAAAGTGTTAAATATTTTTGAAGAATGTGGTTAAGGCAAATGTTCAATGAAATGTTGGCTATTTTCATACATGACTTTATAAAATTCTCCTCCTTGTGGTTTGGTACTGAGCTCATGATTGAAAGTATCACCAGGTGAAATGATTCAGAAAGATAGTGACCTTTCACTTTGTCTTTGAACATTAGGAATCTCAATTAAACTAAAACTATAATAATAAGCTATGCTACAAAGTTGGTTATTAATTTTATTGAAGAAATAATTGCCGATGATTGGAAAATAATCCATGGAATATTCTTGCACTATTTTAACTGTGTCGGTTCACTTTATGATATATTATCGTGCAGATGCCTTGATTCATTCACAATAAAGGACTTAGGAAAAAGGTGTACCATCAAAAAAACCTCTTGCCACTATTGCCTTCTGCCAAGAATAGAGAAAACAACTAGAGATATTTGTGTAGCATAATTTCATTACTGTTAATAGTATTAAAATAATCACATATTAATGTGTTTTTGTACCAACATATTCCATGCATTTCAACATGTAAAACGTTAAGGATTATGTTTTCATAATAGTGTTTATTCTCAGAGCTGGTAAGTGTAGTTAATGAATGTTTGCTCTTTCAGACCAGGTGTTTTGGCTAAGGCTGATGTTAAACCCATATTAATTTAGAGTTTTCAATAATACTCAAATACTCTGAGTAGGATAGGCAAAGATATTGCTTTAATTTTTTGAGTTTGCAATCTAATTAAAGCAGTAAATAAACTATAAACAAATAAACAAAGTTGGGGTAACAATTTGGTTATCTTATTTAGAGGTCAGGATTTTGGCTTTGTTAAATTTATGCCACTCTATTTTGTGAAGTTTTCAAAATAGAAACAGTGTGCTTTACCTATAAAGTTTGGAAACTACAAATCATCTCTTTCTAGATAGAAATTAAGAGGTTGGGTTTGGTTTTTCTCATTCATGGGATTCTAATTTGAATCAGAAAATCAATTGTCATGTTCCTTGTAAGCCTGGATTTCAGTACATTTTAGCATCTAACCATGTCATTTTTATGTAACTTCATGGTTTAGAATAGCACAAATAATTTTACAACAATCCATAAGTCCAAACATCCAGGTGCTGCCCTTCCGGACATCCGTTGTATGATCAGGAAGTATTAAAATAATCTAAAGCCAATGTTAAGTCTTTCTGGCTATTATTAGCTATTTGAAAAGGTATAGATTCTCTTTTATCTGGAGGTACCTTAAAGTATTAGTTGACAAAAGTTTAAATGCATTGAAAGATACTCTTCTGTGCACATAAAATAGAAAAAGAAAGCAATGAAACAACATAAATCTATGAAATCAGACTGTTGGTAAAGAAAGCTCTATCTTCTTAGTATGTGAATTTTGACCTTATGGTTCCAGAAGTTCTAGTGAACCACAAAACTATGCTATGTTTTTGATCTAACATACACTATAACTGCGTTCGCTTATCTACACAATACAAACCCATTCAGTTCTTTGGTAAAGTAATATGAAAGGAAAGTAATTCATTTGAATGTGTCATAAATTCACAGAACTCGTTTTACTCTACTGTAATGTGTTTAATTCCCCGGTGGCTCAATGGCAAAGAATCTGCCTACCAATGCAAGAGATGGGGGTTCAGTCCCTGGGTCGGGAAGATTCCCTGGAGAAGAAAATGGCAACCTGCTCCAGTATTCTTGCCTGGAGAATCCCATGGACAGAGGAGCCTGACAGGCTACAGTTCATGGGTTCGCAAAAGAGCTGGACATGACTGAGCCACTAAACAACAGTCCATTTAATTAGAAAACTTTTTTATGTTATTCTATTTGCTTTCTCATGTCTTTGTAAAAAGACTTCAATGAAGCCCTCATTGAAGCCTCAATGAAGCCCTTTATGAAGTCACTTCACAAATCACCTATTTTCCTGTCTTTCTTCCTGATTTGAAATACACTAGTCTCTGTTTCATAATACGCTGGCCAGAAACTGTGGACATTCTTGCTACTGCAACAGGTGTTTGTCAGTTTCTTAAGTTGCTTTCCTTTCCCCTGAGGTGGTGTTATTTCCGGTACATTCCAAAGCCTCTGGGGAAAAAAACCTTTCACAGTCTCTTGCCAAACCAAATCATGACTCCAGCCTCCTATGGAGAACCCATTGTTCTTCAAACTTTTATAGGCAACTTGTGTGCATCTTTCTCTAATTTTTATTTGGGAAGAACTCAAGTATTGGTTAAGAGTTTTGCAAAGCTGAAACTGAAAATGGAAGTGATTTTTGCTCAGAGGCAAACACTCTGGATGTCTGGGAGTGGGACTGATACATTCCTGGCAAACCTGATGTAAAAAGGTTTTTATCATCCATTTAGACCACCCTGAAGTTTGACATACACATAAACAAACTGACCTCAATAACTTGCAGTCTACCTGTTAATGTTTCGCTTACAAGTTAAGCAGGGGACGGATAGCAGTAGAGTGAATACCATCCATCAATTGCTTATTTATATAGCTTTCTCTCTGTCCATATACTGCACCCCCACTTCACCAAGTAAAACCCAAGCCTGCCGTCATGAATTAGTCATGATCGGAACACACGCATGCACTTTCAAACTGTCACAAAGCAACAGGAGACAAGAGTGCTGAAACCAACCTTTTGGAAGTTTCTCAGTCCCGCTGAAGGCAACCAAAGTAAGAATATGTACCAGTGGAATGTTGACGAACTCTCTCATGATTAATCCAGGCTCAGGCAGCAGAAAGTTCTGGACAATGCAAGGAAAAGGCCTCCACCGTTTACATTTTAAAGCATAGTTTGTTCCAAAAGGGTCGTCTGCTAATGACTGTTCGTATCAGCAGCTCCACTGGCTCTAAGTATAATCAGGAATTCTCAGACTTGGCTGTAATGATAGACACGGCCAGCTGGTGAGTATGCCCTTAGGCCAGTAATGCAAGTGTAGGGCTGGAGGAACAAGGGAAAGAAAATCCCTCTAGAATCCCTTTTAAGACAGTAGCAGAAGGACAATACCAGATGCCTTTTGTAACCATCATTGTATTCCCTGAGATATAGTTTTCCTGATCTTCTGAGTCAGCTCATCATCTCTCCTGCACTTATCTGAGAACTCTGGATGTATGTGAGCATGATTCCTCCCCATCTCTCACTCCCCCACCCGCATCCATCCCATATTTAATTCCTACAGATTGTACCAACTTGATATGCCTTGATTTCCTCCGCTCCTTTGATTCTCACTAGTCTCAGCCTATCCCAGCCTCCCTTTCAGACATTCATCTTCTTGGAATGATGGTGGTAACCTCCCATCTGTTCTCTCTGCCTTATGTCTTACTGTCCAATAGGGCTACCCTGGTGACTCAGATGGTAGAGTCCGCCTGCAGTGTAGGAGACCAGGGTGTGATCTCTGGGTCGGGAAGACCCCCTGGAGAAGGGAATGGTGACCCGCTCCAGTACTCTTGCCTGGAGAATTCCATAGACAGAGGAGCCTGGTGGGCTACAGTCCATGGGGTCACAAGGAGTTGGACACGACTGAGTGACTAACACTTTCACTAATCTCTTTTTAGATCACCTGTCCTACTCAGATGTCTTCAGTGGCTCTTCATCACATAAAAAAAATTCAGATCTCTCTAATATGACAAAAGAAGGCCTGATGGACCCTACCTACCTGTCTAGCCCCATCTGTTATAATCCCTGTCCCTGTTTTAACATGTAGCAACCTACTGATGGTTCACTGAATACAGCTTTCAAGCCTCCATGAATTGTTCCTACTGTTTCCTCCTCTTGGAGTGCTTTCTCCTCCTCTCCAACTGGTTCCCACCTATCTCAAACTTGATCACTGTCTCCTGGGAGCTATTCCAGACTAAAACTCCCACCTCTTCCCCAAGTTGCCTTAGGCTTGCCTCCTCTGGGCTTCTCTGTTCTATTGCGCATTTCTCTATCATTGCACTTATCACATGGTTTTAAGAGTTTTTTCGCTTGTTTTGGCGTCTCCCTTATTCTTTGGTCTCATGAGTCCACTGAGTCAGCAGTCATGAACTGTCAGTTGCAGCAGATTCTTCCAAAACATTCTCCTAGGCAAATGGCCTTTTCCCACTGAACAGTATGTCTTGGAGACTTTTACGTGGTTAATATACAGCACTATCTCATTGCTTCTATTGGCTATGTAGATTTCTAAATCATGGATGTATAATGGTATCTGTAATCACACCTCAGGCTCAGACAGTAAAGAATGCCTGCAATTGGGGAGACCTGGGTTCAGTCCCTGGGTCGGGAAGATCCCCTGGAGATGGGAATGGCTACCCACTCCAGTATTCTTGCCTGGAGAATTCCATGGAAATAGGAGTCTAGCGGGCTACAGCCCATGGGGTCGCAGAATTGGACACAACTGAGTGACTTTCACGTTCACTTTCAGAAATATATAAGAATCCATTTCCCCACAATCTCATCAACACTTACCGTTGAATTTTTACATTTAAGTAGAATAAAAAGGGTATGACGTTGTCTCAGTTTACTTGTGTTCCACTCTTACTGTTGGTAATGAGAATTTTTTGTATATTTGTTATTCATTTTCCTCTTCTGTGACTTTTGTCTATTTTCCTCTTAAGTCTGTTTTTTATTAATTTATAGGAGTTTTAAAAAATATTCTGAATGAAATAATTTTATATCATTAATACATTGTATATTTTGCAAATATTTTCTATGTAAACTAGCTCTACTACCTAGACATAGTGATTGCTTCAGAAATGGGCTTATGGCTCAAGCTGGCTTATAGCTCAGGGTCTCTCTGTTATTTTACTGGATGTAATACAAAATAAGCTCCTTCTTTTTGATCACCACCTGTGAGGATTAGATAAACCAAGGCTGTTGGAGGCTTCCTGCTTCATTAATAGGAAATAATATGAAAGTCAGATGTATCCACTGATTTTCCTTGTTTTTGGAGTTAATAATTTCCTTTATTCTTTTTTTTTTTTTTGGCTTGGCTAATATGAACTTGATTCCTTAAATTGTGACTGAAATGATCCGGATGTAATTTATAATAGAAGAGATATAAATTTGATGTGGTTTCTGTTCTGAGAATGTCCTGTGAATGCCATATACCTCATGGGAAACTTTGACATTAGCTGAATGAGCACTTTTTTACTTTAATCCAAAATTTAGGAACCAGCAGGATGAAAAGACTTCAGCCATCCCACAAGTAGCACTAGGGAGAGCACAAATTTCTGGAGATTTTGGATGACTATAAATCTGTGAGCTTAAAGATAAACTCAGGATCACCACCAGCAATTAAGAAAGGAAAGTCCAAGGTGAGCAACTTAAGGGACCTCTTTCTTCAAATGTCCAGGAGGAAGATTTGGGAATAAGCACTCTTCATTCTCTTTCCCTTTTCCCTAAAATATAGAACAGGCATTGATGGTGCTCATTTTGAGTCCAGTAGGAATTGCATTCTTTAGACTAGTGACCCTATTTCAAATTCCACCATTACCTGAGCCTGAAGGTGACAAGAATACTGTGTGAAACTAAGGGGAGACCAAGCTCTGTTGAGGGAAAGCCAGAATGTGTGGACGAGGGCTGGTTTAAGATGAACCAGTCGATTTCTGTTTTGTATAGAAGTACACTTGTTTCATTTTTTCAGATTCCACCTATAAACAATATCATATGATATTTGCCTTTGGCTTACTTCATTTAGTATGATAATCTCTAGGTCTGTCCATGTTGCTGCAAATGGCGTTATTTCTTTCTTTTGATGGCTGAGTAATATCCCATGGTATAAATATACCACATCTAAAAAGTGATACAAATGAACTTACATACACAATAGAAATATACCCACAGACATAGAAAGAAAATTTATGGTTACCAAAGGGGAAGTGGGGGAAGGATAAATTAGGTATTTGGGATTGACATATGGAAACTATTGTATGTAGAATGGATAAGCAATAAGGACTTACTGTATAGCACAGGGAGTTATACTCAATATTTTATAATAACCTGTAAGATGAAAGAATCTGAAATAAAATGTGTGTGTGTATAGAACTGAGTCACTTTTCTGTATACCTAACCTAACACAATATTTTGAATCAACTATACTTCAATTTAAAAAATTAGAAAAAAAAAACTAAATAAAATTAATCTGTTAGTTAATCTGTTTGCTAAGAGAACCCTGTAAAGAGTATGGCTTAGGCGTGAACATGGCATCAGACCCCAAAATGTTGTAGCTGGAGGCTGTCAGCTAATTATTGTCCTTGCTGCAGTTTCTTGGACCCTGGATACAAAATGGCCTTCCATCCTACAATACAGGCAAATATATTCCTTATAAAGTAGGCTCATTCAGCCACAGAGAGTGGAGATGGGGTGGCAGTCAATTATTTGACTTCTTTTTGGAGCATGTGGAGAGACTATGGGGCTGATGGCCAGTCTTGCCTTTCATAAAATGCGCTCAGCCACCAAGTAAATTTGCCTTGCCACCTCTAATATCTCTGCTTCTTCATCTCAAGAGCTGGCCGAGACACCAAGTAGCACCGTGCTGAGCCATATCTTGAACTTGACACTGGAATTCAACCATACAGCAGCTGATGAGACTGGCCTCATTCCTGCTAGAATCAGCACATCACCAAATCAGTGCTCCTGGTCTATACCCTGCTCTCATACATCTGGTGACGTTGGCAAGGAGCCCCTTCTAATAATGATCACAGAGGGCAATGACCTGGTCTTCTGCCTCACTGGTCAACAGTGGGTCAGAAATGCCATGTGGATTGCCCTTTCTAGAAAACTCCTGAGAGGTCAAAGAGTTCCATGTTCACAAATGAATGTATGAATGTAATGTCTGATTAAATATCAGGATGGCAGTGAGAAGTACATCAATAGGTTGCAAACCCTTACCTTATAAAAATGGGAGGGACTCTTAAAATGATTGTTCAGTGAATGAAGGAATTATATCGACTACCTACTATAGGCTGAACATTTGGCAGAAATCAATGGAGCAAGAAAAAATGTCTGGTGATGTAGTTAATATTATATGATTGCATCAGTAATTAGTTCAGTTCAGTCGCTCAGTGATGTCCAAATCTTTGTGATCCCATGGACTGCAGCACGCCAGGCCTCCCTGTCCATCACCAACTCATGGAATTTACTCAAACTCATGTTCATTGAGTCGGTGATGGCATCCAACCATCGCATCCTCTGTCGTCCCCTTCTCCTCCTGCCCTCAATCTTTCCCAGCATCAGGGTCTTTTCAAATGAGTCAGCTCTTTGCATCAGGTGGCCAAAGTATTGGAGTTTCAGCTTCAGCATCAGTCCTTCCAATGAACATTCAGGACTGATTTCCTTTAGGATGGACTAAAGGAAATAATTAACTAAATTATAATCTAGAGAGATACGTTATGCTGTGAAATTATATAAGAATTGACCCTACAGTCTGAGGGCTTGAGAAGTGCTTCTCTGAGAAGGTACTAGGGAGGCTAAATCCTGCAGAATAAGTAAAAGCCAGATGGCTAAACTCGGGAGGTCTGGGAGTGGACCATAACCTTTAGTGGGCGAGGAATATGGAAAAGACCCAGAACATGAAGGAACATGGTGATGTGATGGAGATGAAAGAGGGTCAGCATGTTTGGAGTAAAGAGTTAGGGTAGAACCTACAGAGGCAGATAGACAAGGTTGTTCAGGATCTTTTGTGTTTCAGTAAGGCCTTCATTCTTGGAGCAGGGAACTGTCATGGGAATGCAG